AAAAGCTCCAATCTATTTGTGGGGAGCAGCATGTACTGGGAAATGGGCCCAGCGTCCCATATGAAATTATAAGCATTGAAATACCGGGACCGATACCCGGCTTCATCTGAGAGAATCTGAGAACAAACCAAGAAATTTTGGAAAACCTGAGTAAACACTCGTCTGCTTCCAGTGGAGTTTGAAATCAGGCGGCGTCAGCCACACCCTACCCATGCTGCTATTGTACTGAACAATGTACCTTGAGTGTTGAGTGAAATGCTTCTTTGCCGACTATGTCGACGTGTGGACTGTTGACTTTGAGCGTTCGACTTTACAACTTGCATACTATGACTGTACTTCAACAGTTCAGGGGTGTACGGCCAGTTGTTTTTTTTTTCCAGTTTTTCCTTTTTCTATTTTCTTTTATGTTTCCTTCTTTGCTAGTGATGTACTCCCCACAATCCAGCATTCTTCATATGTTTTTCTCCCTGCACCCTGGGCCCATATTGTCTTTCCCCCGAATGACACACTTATTTGTCCCAAGGGACGGAGAAAGGCTACTAGATTAGTGGGAAAATGATAATCGGTTCAAGGATGCAGGTTGAGAAGGAGTGGAGAGAACGTACTACGGTAGTACGGTCATTATTGCTGTGCTTGGGGCAACTTTCAGACCGGAGACGGCGATACATGCGTTCTATTCAGGGGAAGACCATAGCAGTTGTGACGGCCAACTGAGGCTCCCAGCGACCCACTTTCCATGCCGTGAAGTGTGTGTCTTCCTGTGCACCATGGCACCTTTTTCCTGTCCAAATGGATCGGCACTGCCACGTAGACCAGAACAGGAGAGAAAGAAAAGAAAAAGGAAACTTATCTCCATCTGTGTCTTTCTATAATAAGTATGTTCATCTGTCTGTCCGACTGACTAGCTGCATCTGTGTGTGTCTTGGTGTGTGTGGCGGTCTTTTGATGGAATTGCTCGCGTGCTCAAGGTCCCAAGGGACTGGTCCATCGATCCCGCATGGGTCCGTGAGATGAAAGCAGTGGGAGAGCACATGGTTCCACACAAGCTCAAGTGTCCCAGCAAATGGATACCGGAGGCAAAGTACAGTGGCGATAAGCAGTGCAACATACGCATCGTAGACCATTTCGTCGTAGACAAAACTCCGATGCCGTATGAAAGAACCCCTGCTCCTCCTCCTCGCTCCCCGGTTTCGCGAGCCCCTCTGCCCGGAGCACTGGGTTCGCAAAGTCCTGCTGCTGCGGCTGCTGCGGCTAATGCGGCTAATGCTTCCCCCGCAACATCCCGGTTTGCTCCTCCCCGGACTGCTGGCATTAAAGTAGACGCTGCTGCTGCTGCTGCTGCTGACATCGCCGCATCTCCAACTGCGGACATCACGGCAAGACCTGCGCCTGTATCGGAACCAGCGTCTGGTCCGGGTGCTGGGGCTCCTGTGGCTGCTTCTACAGAACCAGAAGAACATATTCAGCGCCTTCGCACAGACAAAGTGCACTTTCAAGAGCAGGACGAGAGGAAGTCCTTGTCGCTCATTGGTTATTCCTCTTGCAGTGAAAAGAGGTGTGCTGCGGCTGCAGGCCTTGCTGCACTTGGTGCAAGCGGTGTGGTGAGCTCTCAACCTGTCTCACCCCCAGCTAGCCATCATCCAGGATTGCCTCCTCCAAAGTCGCCAAAAAGACGGCCCACGGGCAGACCGAAAGTTGCAATGCCTTCTTCCTCCTCGAGGACATCGTCACCCTACCGTCAAGACCTACGTGGTGTGCCAGTCAGTGTGGGATCAGGAGCACAAGCAGGAGCGATTCCATCTTCCTCTTCTTCTTCTTCTTCTTCTTCTTCTTCTTCTTCTTCTTCTTCTTCTTCTGCTTTGGCTTTGCCAACCACTTCTTCTTCATTGCCTCATCATATTCGCCATCATCATCCAATTGCAAGAGAGCATCATGATATTCATCGTCACCCCCCGTTATCGCCACACGGCATCCCAGAGCACAAGAAAGAAGCCCCGGCCACCTCCACCGGCAACCGTGGCTCTCCCGGCCTGTATGCTCCGAGAGGGACAGTTCTGCCTCATTGCAACAGCGACGACTGTCCGTCCTGTTCCAGACGTAACAGGTTCAGCAGGCTCCGGCTTACTCGCATTCTTTCTCAGGTCATCCTTGAGCAAGTCATACGGGGAACGGAAGGAGGTGGAGACTCAGTTTCGCGCTTCCTCAGCGGCCGGGGCGCCGATGACGACGATTCTGATGACGATGGCGATAGTACTCAGAATGCGGCGCATCCTGAAACGGATAAGAATGACAATGATGATGCTGGTGGTGGTGGTGATGATGATGATGATGATGATGACGATGACGACGACAATGATGACGGATATGATTATCAGGAAGGAGACAGGCGGCAAGGGGCACGAAGGTGGTCTTTTTCCCGTAGGTTTCCTTGGTACGGTTCGAAAGCAAGGATGCACAAGGGAAAGTGAAAAGTTCTGAAAACATTAACTGAAAATTTGAAAATTTCAAAAAAAGAGCCATCACTTTTCAAATGTGTTAAAGTGAACAGGAAAAGCCTCACTTTCCCTTAGGGGTTGATATGAAATTTGAACCTCACCTTAGGAAGTTTCAAATTTTGAAATTTGAACCTCACTTTCAGGGGTTTATAAAATCTGACCCCTGAACCTGAGTCTCTCCATCTTGCGCGAATCCAACCATACACACCCTGCGTCCAGATACAATATTATGAGATCAAACTTCAAAAATTGGAAAGAGAAAAAATAAAAAAGTACTATGATGCATCTGATTCCAGTTCAGTTCGAAGTTTAAACCACCCAGGTCTTGGATATCAACAGTTTGTGGATGTGCCCTTCAGCCACATTGGCTGGGTTGAGTTTGTTTGCTTGTTTGTTTGTTTGTTATACTTTTTTTTTTTTTTCTTTTTTTTCTTTGACTGGGTTGAGTTATCAGTCTCCTGACCAAGATGGCTGGCGGTGCCAGCGAGAAAAAAAGAAAAACGCTGTGCTGGCGCTTCGGCAAAGCTTTGCACAAAAGAGGCTCGGAGGTAGTGGTGGTTTAAACCGAACATCAGCAAGGGTATGGGGATAGGTACTCGGGAATCCATCCCCTACTCACGGGCGGGATTGGGGGCTGGAGTCCGAGGACCGACTCGGGAATGTGCTAAGGCAGATTCAATATCGCCCGCAAACAGTCCATTTGTGACCGCGGCTGTCTCTCCTCTCGTCATCAGAGATGGTTTCGCAGCAGCCCGTCCGCCATCCCTTTGAGCCTTCTGGCTTCTGCTGGCTCCTTTTGCCGGCTTCTCCATCTTTTTTTTTGTCTTTTCTTTTTTTTTTTTTTTTAAACAAAACGCCCCCACCGGTGTTATCTCCATCTTTCCACAGCCTCCTGTCATTTTCGTTCATGCCCCACTTGACACAGGTCTCAAAGTCGATTGCGAAAATAGGGTGTATATGGTGCAGTGCACGCGAAATTCACAAGGTGACCCATCATCGTGCAAGGGGCTATGACTTTGATTTTTTTCGCCTTTCAACTACCTACCTACTACTACTCCTAAGGCTATACAGGGGACCCCTGAAAGCATAGCTACCTCACAATTATGAAGGGATTCCATGTTGCCCCGTGCCCTAATAGCGGTAGTCAGGGGTTAGGGTGCGACGCATGCATGAACTGGTTCCTTCTCCCCTTTCCTTTTTTTCGGTTTTCTTAAAGGGGTTGTGCGCTGTGTTTTGGTGATCCAGACGTCATTCCTCAGGCTTTGTCCTTAGTGGGGTATCGGTGGGTAGCTTGCGTCGGTTGATCCATTTTCAAGCTGTTCTTCCTTTTGCCACTTTCGAAATGGACCTTGCAATTTGCGGGACCTCGCATTTTGGTAGGATATATGTGCGCCTTAGCAAGCGAGCTCGGAAATTCTTTTCGAGTTTCTTCTCGAGTTCCGGGGAACAAGGGCGCCTTCCGGAATACTTTGTGCTGAGTCCTTTTCTTTTCGCCTGTAAATTTGGAGACGTCCCTGTATGCCCCAAGAAATTTTGTTGATGGACGTTAGAATAGGAATCGGCATAGCGTGAGCACTAGAACACTGCGCTAATTACCGCGCCAACTCCCCCACAAATTTCCCCGCCAGCAGTCCACGAACTTTCGAACCAAGCAAGGCGTTCTTGAACACGGTGCCACGCGTGCAGGCACACACGCACTTTCCATAGCTGTTCTCTAGTGGTTTAGGAAAGGGAGGATAGGGTGAGAACATGTGAGGACACTTCACACCACACCTTTGGGCGTGGCTCTCCCAAGCGTGGCAGGAGGAAGACGAGGAAAAGGGAAGGAAGGGCAGGAAGAGAGAGGGTTAGAGGACAAGGAGGAGCGAAAAGGAGAAGCGAACCATGTCTATGAATAGGAAAGGACAAAAGAAACAAGTAGGAAGGAGAAGAAGGTAGGCCGAGCAACCTTCCAAACAAAGGGAAGGACTGGAAAGAAAGGACAAGCAAGGCATTCATCACGAGTCGAGGAAAATGCGGCGCAACGGACAGGCTTGTCATCATTGTGCCTTGCAAGGTTTGAACAGTCTCCCTAGAGACTCGAAGGTCAGATTTGCCGCCCACTTCTCCAACCAGCTTCAGGGGACAGAGAAAGGACCGGTGCAAGGACAAACATTCAAGAAGAGGGGAGCAGCGGTCATGAGCGAGAGCAAGCGACAAGTTGACAAAACCTACTAATTACGATGAGTGTTTCAACCTGAGCTTAGATCAACATTCTTAGAATACAAGCACGGAGGTAGTAACACACTGTTCATCGCCCGGATGGAACGGTAGAGCATCGATCCCAAGTCAAGTCTTTCACAAACACGGCAAGAAATAAACGTACCAAAATAAGTGAGACAAACCGGCGGCAACTGCGCCTACACAGAAATTTGTCACTTCCACGAACAAATCATCCCCATATTCTGTCTCTAGTGCATCGTGGTTTCCCCACCATCATCATAACGAACAAGCAAACCCACTCGTCCACCCCCACCAACCACCCGTTACAGACAACACACAACTTAGGGATCTTAGGGATCCAATTGACAGAACATGGAGCAGAGACGGAAATGTCGCCCAGCCTCCTAGCCAAGATGACAAGCAAATTAAGTGTCTGGGGTAAAATACACACTTCATTACATGGAAGAGCCCTAATATTAAAAACGTCAATTTTTGCCATGATGTGGTACATTGCAGCCTTATGGGCTCCCGACCATTTGACGTTGAAGAACTTAAGAAGGAAAGCCACAGCCTATCTGTGGACAAGAGACGTGCCCGGGCAACACTTCATAACCAAAGTCGCTTGGCAGTATGTCACTAGGAAAAGAGCTCGGGGGAGGCTGGGAGTCCTAGACCCCATGACCCAAATAAAAGTCCTCCATACCAAATAGATCCGTAAATCACCAGTACTTCCGAAAGTTGTGCCCGTTAACACGCCACAATTTTAGGAAACGTACGGGCTACTACAGGAGCGCCCAAATTCATCCGACTAGAAACGTTTCTACTCTATTTTTTTCCGCGGCCGATAGCTCGGCCAAGTACTGGTGGTTTAAGCTCATCACCAGACCTTGCCTGCCCTAGAGAACCTTAGCCCTAAATGGTATACAACAACTATCAATATATAACACCCCAGCCAACATGGAAGGTTCCTTCTGGATGATGAGCAAATCATGGTCAATGAAAGCGGGAAATCACAACACAATATACCCAAAAAAAAAAAAAAAAAAAAAAAAAAAAAAAAAANAAAAAAAAAACAAAAAAAAAAAAAAAAAAAAAAAAAAGGTTGGGATTCTGGACCACTGTCCTAGGGAAGGGAGGAACAAGTCTTGCAGCAGAGACCTTCAGCAGCTGCAGTCCAAGGATGAAGGGGTGTTGGACGCTGGACCCATTTTCCAGCTGGTGATGCTCCCCACCAATAGATGGAGCCTCCCCCCACGTGCTAGTGGTGTCTGCTCTTACCAGCACCACTAACACTGAAGGGGGCGTTTTCAAAGAAAAAAAGAAAAAGAAAAAAAAAATTTGGGATTCTGGAAAGGGATCCTTCGTGCTTGGAGAGAGATCTTCCCAGCTAAGGTCAGGAAACCGCGCAACAAGGAGGAGATACTAAGACAACCCCTATTATGTACCAGTGGATAACAAAAGAAGATGGAAACCCATTAACGTTGACCTCAAAAGATGCAAAATGGGGGGGTCTGGCTAGAGAAAGGAATATGGTAGATCAAACACATCTGGATGATAATACGAAAGAATGGAAACAAGGCAAAGTTGGCAAACAACTCAAACAACATCTCAAGGGTTGTCATCGATTATGTCGTAACCTACAGGAAGTTAGCAGCCATCCCACAAGAATGGGTGCCAACACTAAAACAAAATAGGCAATGGACCACATTTGCCAGTGTCTTGGTTTGGATAGAAAAGGTGAGAACTGATTGATAGCTAGTGTTGTGCTTGTTAGTCATGAGGATCTGGCGCCCTGTGAGGGTGAAGAGGCACTAAGCTAGCCCCTGGGGGACTGTATATTTCAGCTTTTCCCTCTGCTCCTTTCTGGTTACCCCATTCAATTCTTGATTACCTTGTATTTAAGGGGACGCTGGACCCGCTTTCCAGCAGGTGACGCTCCCCACCAGTAGAATGGAGCCACCCGAAGGTCAGAAAGGAGTGAATGCTCTTATCATCACTCCTATCTGATACTCCGTATTTTGAAAAAAAAAAGAAAAAAAAGACTGAGTGGTAATATTAAATAAGCCCCTACAGAGACACACACTAGCATACTGGGGCAGAGAAGAAGGCAAACAAAATTGGTGCACATTTACTATGCACCAAATAGAGTAACCAGGTTCTGACCACAGCAAAACACGCAAAAACCCTGCAACGCAAGTATTGGTCCGAGAGGATAAGAAAGATAAGAGTAACCAAAAACGAAAAGGTAACCACCTACCTCCCTCAAACCCTTTTAAAGAATCTAAAAGTGGACCCAACCGAATGGGCATGGAACCTAAAGCAAGGAACCTTAGGAATCAATACCAAATTCAACTTAGGGCGGGCCTCGTTCAACACCACTACAAAACCCTTACATGTAAGGTTTTCATCGTTCCACCCCTCCCTAATCCCGAAGAAAAGGAAGTCGAACTTGTTTTCACATTCGCGGCCGTAAGGGCTGGCCCTACAAAAGTAAGGACTCCCCAGCCAAAACGGACCTTGATGTAAGGAGGCCCGTGGAGGTGACTTGAAAGTAAGGGGTGGCACCCTTACATCCGCGAAAGAACCATTTTCATTTTTTATTTTTTTTAACATCAGGTCTGTCTTTCGGCCACTTAGAACGCACACGGAGGCGTCCAGTTGATGTAGCTCAGTGGTTAGAGCACCGGTTGGAAATGCGCATTGTGGTATGAGGTCGCGCATGGCCACCGGCAGGGCGTTAGATTGACGCACGGCTGGACACACATCCCCCTGGGCTGACGCATGGTACTATTACAGACACTGCCTGCG